GCTTGCTTCTCTCTTTTTCCAGTGACTTCGTTCTAAGAGCTCAGGCCATTCGCCCTCCTCCACAATTCAGGCAGGGGCATGAGACTATGAGAAAGTCAGAGGCCAAGAAAAAAAAATCCCCTCTCCAAGGAGCCTGGAACTCCCCAGGCAGCTGGTGGAGCATCATGATGGAGTATCAGTTGAGCTGAGGGGGTTCTCCCATTTGAAGAATGAGCAGCCTTGCTTTTACTGGGCTAGTCAGGTGTTACTTCTCCAGGCCTGGGGTCCATGGCAGCCCCTGCCTTTTCTCCTCCGCTGCCCATTGTATGCTCCTCCCTGATTTTCTCCCCATGTTTCTCAGAGTTTCACCAGACACATAATGCTCTTTCCTTACTAATGGCATGTATTTTTTTTATTCTGAAACTAATTCTTTTTCACTATAAACACTCAAACAAAACAGTAATGTATCAATTATAAACAAGTCTTTATTAAATTGTTTCTTTGAGATAACTAGCCTTAGTGGCTGGGTGGAACACTCATAGATCCTTCTCTAAGCACACATAAACAGCTATGTGAGCCATGCTTTTGATTTTGTTCTTAATGTCTATACTGCTTCCTGGAATCTTCTTGTTTCTGCTTCTGCATGGTCTTCTGAATGTGGTATACTTCCTGTTGCTAGCTTCCACCTGTCGCTTTGATCTGGTACCTCTCCCTGGCTCCCCAAGCCCCTGCCTGGTCTTATTATATAGCATTTCATGCAATAAGTGATCAATTCCTTGTTTTTATGCCTGTCTTCTCATTAGAGGACAGATCAGAGGCCAAGCAGTGAAGGCCAGGCTAGACCCCATTGGGAGCCACAGCCTCTGGGCTTTGTTGGATTATGCTATTTATTTCTATAATCCCCAAGTGCACTCAGCAGAGAGTGCAGGACACCTGGACATCACTCAGGAAGAAGACTGGTTAGAGCTATGTTTATCTGGAAGTCAGTGGCTAGTATGGCTAGTAGTTTTACTCAGACCTCATAAGGAGGTAGGAACCCACTTTATGGATGAGGTTGGTTAACAGCACAGCCAGGCTTCTGGATACAGGCTGCCTACCTCAGAGCTACTCTGAGGTGGGGTGCATGGTGCAAGTTCGAGTAGAGGCTGACTGAATCTAGGCAACTGGACAGTAGGGCTGATGGGTTAGAGCAGTGTTGCTGCTCAGCCTAAGGCTCGAGGGGTACTGGAGGTAAGGGGGGGCCTAGGGACACACTGAGATGCTGGGAAGCAAAGCTTGTGGAACACAGGGAAACCCTATAGGTAACTAAGACTTCTGCTCAGGACAGAAGTCAGCCATTATCCTGCCTTTGCCTTGATTTATCCTGCAATCAGATATCTTTATGAATGAGACATACAGTCTGTTTGGTGTCCTGGGATTGAGTGGACAAACCCTCTGTCACTGCAGAAGCTGGTCAGGTTAGTGAGACTGTGTCTTTTCGTCTCTTCTCTGAGACCTTTCTCCCTTCCTCCCTCTGGCTATTGCATCTCTAGGTCCTGGGTTGGGATGATGGAAAAGGCTTTCATCTTTTTTATGGTGGCCATTGCCAAGGTCTTGGCTCCACACTGTTCCCATCTCTATTTGCCTGTTGTGGGTGGCCCCAGTCCCTTTGACTTCCTCATCTGGAATTGTCACCTTTCTCTGGGGCATTGATTAGAAGGAGCTGGGCATAACTCAATGGAACTTCATGGGGTATGTGGCTTAGGAACCTGTGTTCTGATGAGTTCCTCAGAATTCTTAGGGACAATCAAGGTCTCCAGACACTGCCTGAAATCATGGAACTGTCCTTCGCAGAGAGGACTGGTCTCCTTATATGCCAGGAAGGAGTCTGGGTTAGTGGTGGTGAGATAAGACTGGTTGAATGAGCAGAAACCTGGGAAGGAAGGCATTTTCCTGGCGTAACTCCCTTTGAGCAGAGAACTTTTTTCTCACCTGTGGGTCTCACCCTACTTCTCAAGTGCTTTCTCACAAGCTAACCAGGAAGGTAAGGCTCACGTCCAAAGAGGAAACTTGAGAAAGGGCCTGGATGTGGGCCAAAGGGGAGTGAGGAAGCAAGCAAGGAAAGATAATTCTTTTAGGGTTACTAACTTTAAAAAAGAATGAGGGGGCATTTTATTACCACCTAAAAACTTAGGGAGGCATACTAGACTTCTGACCGAATAATTGAAGACTGAAGGATGGCTGAAAGGAAGGAGGCTCCATGAGAAGGGATGTGTGACACCCTGTCCCTGGTTGGAGAAGACTATGAAAGATTTCTGCTCCTGGGTAGTTTGGTTGTTACTTGATATGTTGTAGGGTCTACTACGTGCCTGGTATTTGGTCAGCATATGGTAAAGAACCACAAACAAGGGACATTGGATCTTTACTTAATGAACTGAAGGTCACACAGAAGGTCATATTCTGTCTGCCTGGCTATACACCTTGTCCCTATCCAGGGGTAGCGATCTGGCTGGCACACAGAGGTACAACTCTTGCCCAAGCCTGGCTTGGGCCCCAAGGAGCATTGCAAGAGGAGGAAAGGATGTTTTGGGGATCAGGTGGGAGTGGAAGGCAGTGCCCAGCAGGCTGGAAAGCCCTTCTGCGGAGTTCCCTTCCTCCTTGAGGTCCCTGTGTGTGCCAACTGCCTTCATGGTCCATATACACACACATCTAGAAAGCTGACTGGCTGCCAGCTTTCTAGTATGTCACCACATTTTCACAGGAGCCTCCCACATGACTCAAAGGCCTGTCATGTGGCCAAGCTGAGCAATCCAGATGTCACTGGAGCTCTGATGGTCATGTTAGGGAAAGCTTCTGATTCATAACAGCTATTCCAGTCCAATTGGCCAGGCCCATTAGTTGTTTCCCTTTAGTCCTGTGGCTTCTATAGTCACTTTAGTCACCACTGGAACCCTGACCTTTCAGATGCTGTGCACAGGCTCCTGTGAGGCCTGCAAGGACCATCTGTAAGCACAATGAGCCACAATTCTCTTTCTCTCTCTCTCTCTCTCTCTCTCTCTCTCTCTCTCTCCCTCAATGTATCTATAGATCAGCAATTCCAGGAGGAACACAGGAAGGGTGTCTGCTGTTACCTTGTAGAGTGGCCCAGAACTGTATGCATGGAATGGTGAAAGAATGGTTCAAGCTCAGTCGTAAGGGACCAGGAGTAGAAACTTTTATATTCTAGGTCTGTGTTCAGGGATTCTCGAATCACAAGTAACCTCAGATAAGTAGTTCTGGAGCCACTGGGATCTTCTTATTCATGATAGGGAGAGGACTTGTGGCCCCTTGAAGTGTGGCAGCAGAGAGTAGAGGCAGACAGGGTGCTTAATGTTCTTTGCCTCGTCTGAGCCTGTGATACCACACTGCTGTTACCTCTGTGTTATAAAGGAAAAAGCTTAAAGAGAACTGAGTAACTTTCCAGTTAGAGTTATGCTTAAGCACAGCTTGACAAAGTCCTTCCTTGCAGTAGTTGGGAAAGTGACACTTTAAGCAGAATGGCCTGACAGTGGCTCCCACACCCTCAAGCTTTGAGCCTGGATCTTGGAGACTGGTCCCCATGTCCTCCCTCATACAGTGCTTGTGGCAAGATGGCAGCTGGGTGACTGAAGGACTGATGTTTCTTCTCATGATGCTGCTCACCTTGATGCTGTGCCTTCTGCATTACACGCCTGCTCAACTCCACACATCCATTTCCTTGCCCCTTCAGAGCATCTGTTCACTCTGTCTTTGCAGTGCCACTCTTGCCTTTGCCACAAGGAAGAATGGGGGTTTGAGTTGGTTCTGAGACTCACACAGGGTTCTGTAGTTGAGGCATGTCAGGACAGTATTGTTTCCACCTACTAAGGTGTCTATGAAAGGCTGTATTCTCCTCCTAGAGCCATGCTGTGACCCAACAGCACTGGACTCAGAACTCTGAGGACACAGGAAGAGGGCATAGCCAGTATTGAATGAGATGTATTACTCACTCACTCACTCACTCACTCACTCACTCATTTACTCACTCACTCACTCACTCACTCACTCACTCATTTACTCCCTCACTAACTCACTCACTCATTCACTCACTCATTCATTCACTCACTCCTTCCTCATTCAATCCCTCACTCACTCATTTGCTCAGGTATACACTCATAAGTTCAGCCATGTTTTTCTGCTATGTTGAGGATCTGTGCTACCTGTGTAGACACAGTACTGAACTGCACATGAGAGTTCAGAGGCTTTGACACAAGCTAGGAGCAAGAAGCTAAAACAGAATGGCTAGATATGAGGACTAAAACACACATAAATCTGGGGGGCAAGGATGTCCCTTAAGGAGATCTTGAGGTGAGGTCTAGGCTGAGACCCAAAGAATGCCTAAAGGAGCCCCTGAAAAATAGACTGAGGAGTAGAGCCGGGTTGTCCCAAGTGGACAGTGGAGCAAAGTAACTCAGCATTTTGCTACTGTGTGCCCAGTGCTATCCTAGGCGATGACCTTTGACCCCTTTGTGTTCGAAGCACTTGTGATCTATGCTTATCTTCAGGGCACTCAGTGCCCATTTCCTCTCTAGTGGGCAGCCCCGGGTATAGGCACCATTGCAGCTGCTCTGTCATCTCCCTTGGGTGGTAGCTGGAGGAGGGGCAGGTGAAGCTGTGAGGCACGTCCTGGCACAGGGTCTGTCCTAGAGACCGTGGAGAGCCTTTGTCCTGGGGCCTGTAATGAGTTTCAGGAGAGAGCTTCAATATTTGATGCAAACAGAGACAACAAAGGATTTCGAGGATCATTGTGAGCTGTCCAAAGAGGAGCTAATCCTCTTGACGAGAAGGGATTCAGGAGATTGGAGGGCACTGAGGGTGTTGCCATGTGCCAGCAATTGTGAGAGATAATGGTGTAGAAGGGAGACAAACCCTACACAGAGAGAGGCAGTGAGAAGGGACATTGGGGGTAGTGAAAAGGGATAGATAGCACCTGCCTCACAAGCCCAGAGACACAGACAATATTTCCTGCACCTCCACATCCCTAGGTTCCGTGCCTGGATCAGCAGCTCTCTCTCTATGAAGTCTGGATTTGCTTTGTCAGCTGTCCTTTGCTGGGGTCACTTGTGTCTGGATATGCAAATGAGAATGAAGGTCAGCTAGGCCTCTTGGGCCTCTCTCCCCTTGGCCTCCCTCCAGCTCTTTCTCTTTCCTGATCTCCTTCATATCTGGGGACCAAGAAAATGGAAAGCAGCTGTGCTTGTATGCTATTTAGCATAAATGGATTGTATCGCAGGAGTCTCTTCTAAGCTCTTCCCTCCTTCAAATCTGCCCACTCATCTCATCTGACACATAGATGCTCTGTTCAGTCACCAGGACAGATTCTTTGCTGGAGATAATTGGTAGAGGGGTTTCCATATGGTCCTTCCAAGGGTGGTTTATAGTGAAAGTGGGACAGACCAAAGGAAGACTGGAGACCTCCACTTCTCAAGCTTTTCTTTGCATTAGCTCTGGAGGCTTCTTCTGGAATTGCCATCTCTAGATTCCCTCAAGGGTTCAAAATTTGAGGGTTGTAGATAAAGAGAAAGAATTGTAGCTGGTTTAATTTGTATACTACCATATAACTTGCATAATACCATACAATTTGCTTAGGTAGGATTATTTCGTTTTTCTAGAAATTTTCCAATTCAATGTTTTTCTTCCTATAAGTTTCTTTTTGTTGTAACTTTCAATTGGATTTAACAAAAAAAATTAGTTTATTTTTATTCTGAGACAAGCTCAGGCTGGCTTTGAGCTCATGATGTCTCAGCCTCCCAGATGTTGAGATTACAGGGATGTGCCACCTTGCCATATGTCTTCTGATTCTGGTTATCATCCTAAGATGCCATGTACCTCCTTCTTTGTAGGAAAAGAGGACAGTAAAGACAAGATGAAGGAATGGGAAGAGAAGGAATGTAGATGCCTGAATTAGAGAAGAGCAATAGAGCTGTCTGGTGCCTTGGCCAGCTCTCAGGAATTCCTTCCAGTTGTAGGATGCTCAAGAATCCTGAAGCATGGAAATGTTCTCAGGACATCTTCCTTTTTCCAGAGGCAGCCATCCAGCAAGAACCCTAAGAGCTTGCCTCTCAGGGTGCACCGCAGAGACTGGTTTATGTCTTGAATCCAGAGCCCAGCCTCAGGGAGAAGCAGCTGGCTTTATGTGTGTTCTAACTACTCCACAAGAATCCTGCCCAGGACTCTCTCCCAGGGTAGTGGGGTGAGAAGAATGCCAGTTTCTCTCACAGGAAAGGCCTGAAAATTGATCTGGCTTTTCTACTTACAGCCAATGATCATTAAATAGAAGATAAATGAGGCTTGTTTTAGCTGAAGAGAAACACCTGCTAGAAACTGCCTGCTGGCTGAAGGATTCATTCCACCCCAACATCTCTGCCTCCTCTTATTTCATGAGAGCATCTCAAAGCCCTCGTCTTCCTTTTTTCCTGTTTTCCAGTTTTTATGTTGAAACAACATCGCACTGTTATAACTGTTTTTTTTAAACTTCCATACTATTTAAACCGTCATTAATGATAATACCCTACCAATGCAATAATATCCTCCTAAAATGTACATCAGACCAAATTGCTCTGTTGTCTGGAGAGCTTTCTCCACAGTGTTCCAGGCCCTGTGTGGTATGGGTGCAGCCTTCCTTCTCACCTGTACTGGTTGCTTTTATGTCAACTTGACACAAGCTAGAGTCATCAGAGAGGAAGGAACCTCATTTGAGAAAATGTCTCCATAAGACCCAGCTGTAAGGCATTTTCTTAATTAGTGACTGATAGGGGAGGGCCCAGTCCATTATGGGTGGTGCCACCCCTGGACTGGTGGTCCTGGGTTCTATAGAAAGCAGGCTGAGCAAGCCAGGGAAAGTAAGCTAGTAAGCACTCCTCTGTGTCCTCTGCATCAGCTCCTGCCTCCAGGCTCCTGTCCTGTTTGAGTTCCTAGCCTGGCTTCCTTCAGCGATGAACAGTGATATGGGAGTATAGCCAAATAAACATGTTCTCCCCCAACTTGATTTTTGGGTCATAGTGTTTAGTCACAGCAATAGAAACCCTAACTAAGACGTCATCCCTCAGCTGTCTCTGTCTCTGTTCCTTCTGTTCCTATCCTCAGGGATCCTCTCCCTTGCCTGGGAGCCTGACCAACAAATTCATACCTCAGTTCCTTTGCTCTTGTTTGGTCTTTCTCCAGAGGTTTGTGAAGGCCAGTGTCTCCTCACCTGGTCCAGGCTTGGCAGTAATATTCCCTGCTCCCAGAATCCTCCTTTATCTCCCAGCATAGGTAGGACCCCTAGTAAATACAATGACACCTGTCTTATTTATGTAGTGACCTATCCTGTTTTCCACATAGATGGAAACAGTTTCTGGCACAGAATATTAGAATATAGAGATGCTCAAGAAATATGGACATTGTCATCAAAACAAAGCGACTGCCTACAGATTGGGAAAGAATCTTCACCAACCCTTTATCTGACAGAGATATATATAAAGTATCCAGTATATATAAAGAACTAAAGAAGCTGAAAAGCAGCAAACCAAGTAATCCACTTAAAAAATGGGGAACAGAGCTAAAGAGAGAATTCTCAGTAGAGGAATATCGAATGGCAGAGAAGCACTTAAAGAAATGCTCAACCTCATTAGCCATTAGGGAAATGCAAATCAAAACAACCCTGAGATTTCACCTTACACCCATCAGAATGGCCAAGATGAAAAACTCAAGGGACAACACATGCTGGAGAGGTTGTGGAGAAAGGGGAACCCTCCTCCACTGCTGGTGGGAATGTAAACTGGTACAACCACTCTGGAAATCAATCTGGCGCTTTCTCAGACAACTAGGAATAGCGCTTCCTCAAGATCCAACCATACCACTCCTAGGCATATATCCAAAAGAGGCTCAAGTACACAAAAAGGACATTTGCTCAACCATGTTTGTAGCAGCTTTATTTGTAATAGCCAGAAGCTGGAAACAACCCAGATGCCTCTCAACTGAAGAATGGATGCAGAAACTGTGGTACATCTATACAATGAAAAATAAGGAAAAAAAATAAAAAAAATAAAAAAAAATAAATAAAAAATAAAAAATAAAAAAAATAAAAATAAAAAATAAAAATAAGGAAATCATGAAATTTGCAGGTAAATGGAAATTTACCTGGAAAGGATAAAGGACCTGGAAAGGATCATCCTGAGTGAGTTGTCCCAGAAGCAAAAAGACACACACGGTATATGCTCACTCATATAGACATGCAACCTAGGATAAACCTACTAAAATCTGTACATCTAAAGAAACTAAGCAAAAGAGAGGACCCTAACTAAAACACTCAATCCCCATCCTGAAAGGCAAAGAGGATGGACATCAGAAGAAGAAGAAAACAGGAAACAACCTAGGAACCTGCCACAGAGGGCCTCTGAAAGCCTCTGCCCTGCAGACTATCAAAGCAGTTGCTGAGCCTGATGGCCAACTGTCAGGCAGAGTGAATGGAATTTTAGGTAAGAAGTGGGAAATAGTAAGAGCTGGAGATCACAGGAACTCCACAAGGAGAGCAACAGAACAAGAAAATTTGAACACAGGGAACTTCCCAGAGACTCATACTCCAACCAAGGACTATTCATGGAGATAACCTAGAACCCCTGCACAGATGTAGCCCATGGCAGTTCAGTGTCCAAGTGGGTTACATAGCAATAGGAAGAGGGACTGCCTCTGACTTAATCTGATTGGCCTGCTCTTTGATCACCTCCCCCTGAGGGAGGAGCAGCCTTACCAGGCCACAGAAGATGACAATGCAGCCACTTCTGATGAGAACTGATAGACTAAGATCAGAAAGAAGGAGAGGAGGACCTCCCCTATCAGTGGACTTGGGGAGGGGCATGCATGCAGAAAGGGGAGGGAGGGTGGGATCGGGAGGGTAGGAGGGAGGGGCTTATGGGGGGGATACAAAATGAATAAAGTGTAATTAATAAAAGTTAAAAAAAGAAATATGTACACATGCACATACATTTTAAAGCATTTATTTATTATTTTTAACTATGTGCATATGCAGGTGGTTATGTGGTATGAGGGCAGAAGGCCAGAGGTGTCGAATTTTCTGGAGGTTGAGTTACAGGCAGTTGGGCTGGAGAGATGGCTCAGCTGTTACAGGCTAGGCTCATAACCAAAAATGTAAGAGTTACAGGCAATTGTGAGCTACCCACTATGGGTGCTGGGAATTAAATTCAGGTCCTTGAAAGAACCATAAGTACACTTAACTGCTGAGCCATCTCTTCAGTACAGCCCCTGCTCTCTGGCCCATTTTGAGACAGTGTCTTATTATTCAACGGAGGCCGGCCTTGAGATTATGATCCTCTTGTCTCATCCTTTCAGTGCTGGGATTATTGGCATGCAGTACTACACTCATGTAAGAAATACTTGTTGAATGAATGAAAAAGTGTAAATGAGTTGGGATAGTGACAGATCATAGATTTTAGAGTCAGAGAATTATATTGGTGGCTTTGTCACCTACTGATGGACAGTCACAGGCAAGTTTTTCATTTCTCTCAGCCTCTGTCCCTCCCTCAACAGGGAGAGTAATAATGTCCATATTGAGAATTAATCCCAGCACAATGTTTGTGCCCGCCAGTGTCTGGTGCTAGTGGGAGCTCATCAGACGGTAGTTGTTAATGTAATAAGTACACTGTACTTCCTACCTAAACTGTACCAGTATCTGTTCTGCTCCGGCTATCCAGTTTCCTGAATGACACAGAGATCTACACGCCATCAAGATGTCACGGTGAGTGTAGATAACCAAATGGGACAAGAGCAAATCGAATTCTAGAATCTGTCTGCTGGCTCAGTACTTCACAATTTATAGAGTGTTCACACCTGGTTCACTCCATCAGCTCCTGAGCTGTTGAGGTCAGCAGTACAGGCCTCGGCAGAGGCTGACATTTCTCCCTTGTTCCTCTCAACTCCTCTTCTTCAGTGCCTTATGTGGTTCCTAAAACGCTAGCTCCAGGGCACTTTGCTTTGCACATGCCCTTAAGTGCTAAATCTTCTGTTAGTCTATGTAGAAAACCGAATGAAGTTGGGTGAGGAGTGAGCAGTGTGGTAGAGCTTTGAACTTCTCGATCGGGAGGCACATTAACCAGGGAGGCTCAGCTCTCAGACTTCAGCCCTGCCACACACTAGCTGTACAACTTCTGGTAGCTTCTCTGTGCCCCATGTCCCCTACCTGCTTATCAGAAGGATGATATACCTGCTCAGGACAGTACCGGGTTAACACAGTAAGCCTCAGCACATGTTTGATTCCCAAATTACCTTCATAATTCCAAACCTGGTGTTCTTTTTCCATAACTGTGGTATAAAAGCTCATAGCTTCTCAATCACCAGCATGTCCATGATATTATATGTAAATATTTAAGCATATTTATGTATATATATCATCAGATTGTAATCATTAATGTAATACACATACTATTCTTAATACTTAAACTGAATCAGGATCTGTTCTGACTAGATATTCCAGATATATCTGCACATATATAGCCTTTATAGAGCCTTGTGAAATCAGCAAGCAATAGTTGTTACCCTTTCACAGAATGGAAAACTGAAAATGAAGAGTCTATTCAAGGTCACACAGTTGTGATTTAGCAGGTGGCTGCTTTGCTCATGACTCTGAAGGTTAAGTCCCTGCTCATATCTACTCTGAAATAGGAAGTATTTATCAGCCTTTTCCGGATTTGCAAATCCATTTACTTTCCATTTACTATCAATATAGGCAAGACCAAGGCTCCTGGTGATTTAGCATCAAGGAAAACTGCAGATTACACCTGGAGTTCCTCCGCAGCCAACCAGTAGCCTCTCCTCTTACTAAGCAGCTGTTTTCATGAACAGCTGTTGTAGACCCAGGACTGTGCCAGGTATCACAGGAGAGGGGAGACAAGGTGGCTTT